CTCTCTCTCTCTCTCTCTCTCTAACACATAAAAAAGAAAAAAAGTGTGGCAGTGTATATTTTCATGTTTTAAAGGAAAATTCATTCGATTTTGTTGATCCTATCGATAGCGTGAGGTCAGCGGTGGGGTTGGAGACTTAGCTGTCGGCCATGCGTTCCTCATCTTATCGATGGAAAACTCTCTTTTTTTTTCTCTCTCTCTCTCTCTCACACACACACACACACGCGCACACACACACACACGCACACGCGTGTGTGCTCACCTTCGCACAGTAGACCAACGAACTTCAATGCAGCTATCCCCGATGCGACGAACTCGAAGGCAGTGAAGTCGTCTAGCAACTCCAACCAGTGAACGTGACGAGACTGACTGCTGCACCATTTTTCCGTGGCGGCATGTCAAAAACCGACCACTTCGAATTCAAATTCCCTCCGCCACTGCTGCAAGGGCGTCACAGAAAGATGCATGCCCCTCGTCAGGGCATTTCGAGGATGGACTGACGGAACGCCACCAGCGGTCCAGTAAGGGCGTAGTGGAAAGTTACGGCCCATGCTGACAGGGGCCTGCGAAAAAGTTCAGTGGCCCCAGGGGCACGACAGGGTAAGTTGGCCGTCAGGGGGGCATGCCGCAAATTAATTGAAACTTCATGGGCACTTCAAAAAATTTCCCTTGTTTTTTTGTGTTTTTTTCCTTCTTCCCCCCCCCCCAATGATGTACTATCGGTATTGGGAGGCTCTGCAATAAAGTCCGAGGCTCGAACTGATTGGACTACAGGTTGCCCGAGCGTCGGACTTGATAGCTGGGCGAGGTACTGGTGGTTAACGATATCTTAGTCTAAATAACTTTTGCCTCGTCTCTTCTACCGTTGTCCAATCCCCTTTCTCTTCGTTCCATAAATCTTGGATCCTAGCCACGCCTCTTTCAATCCAAGACTTTCCAAATGTACCCGGAGAATGACAACACCCAAAGTTGAACTCAACCTCGTAGGTTTCTGTTTTCCCTCCCAGTCCCAGGTTGAGGCTTTTTTTTTGGGGGGGGGGGGTGCTTTTTTTTTTCTTTTTTTTGTTTTTGTTTTTGTTGTTGTCTTCCGATTCAATTTGAATTGGATCCTTATTCACCAAAACATGTAGATGTCAAGGGATTAATCGGGCCACGAAAGCACTCAAAACACCATAAGACGTCTTTGGACTAGTCACACTTTAGGCCCCTTGAGGATTATCCACCAAGAACATGGTGAGACCTCCCACGCCCTACCCCACCCTCCTCCCATTTATCAACTTTCCGCAGTGGCCCAAATTCAGTTTGTACATGGGACGCTGGACCCGTTTTCCAGCAGGTGATGCTCCCCACCAATAGATGGAGCCTCTCCCCAGGTGCTAGTGGTGTCTGCTCGTACCAGCACCTCTAACACTGGCGGGACGTGTTTTTTCCAAAAAAAAAGAAAGAGAACCCTCCGCAAACGCCCCCTCCTACTCTTAGTCCCTCTTTCCGCGGAATGAGCATCCCTCCGTCAATAGAGCCCTTCCTCCAGTAGGCTGGCGAAGGACCGCAGAGCAGCTCCCGCAGAGCACAACAGTCTGAGAGTGACTGAAGACGGTGGTGAGGGCTTTGCACAAGCCTCTTCAGCTTGTGCTTCTTCTTTTCCGACTCCACAGGCGGATGCAGCAGATCGATATCGTTGGAGAGCACCATGGCTGAAGCTTGCTGAACCGACGCAGTGCACCACGACGAGGCAAACAGCGCTCACACCACTACCCGCGCTCACGCAACACGAGTCGGCAGCCGACTCGCAGCCGACTCACCGCCGACCGACCCACGAAGCAGGTTGAGGCTTTCACGAGCGGTATCAGGGCCATTCTCATATGTGGTTGCCTATGGACAGAGGGGGTGAGGTCTGCATTTCAACAGTTTATGTGCGTACCCACTGAGCTAAGCCCGTTGGTGGGGGGGCTATTCCAGACAATTGCAAGTCGAACGGGCCAGCACGGGCTGGTGGCGCTGTGGGTAGTCTTGCTGCCGCGTTCAGGGCCTCGTGCTGGTCCATCTCGGCCCGAAAATAACTATTACTCCCGCCAACAGATAGGATGCAGTTTGATCGTCAAAAAAAGCCCCGCCGTGTAGTCCTCGAGTTCTTAGACGGTCGGCTGGCAAGTGGAAGGAGCTGCCTTTCTGGTGAATATTTGAATGACGCGAGCTGCAAATTGTTTTCTGCTTTCAATCGTATGTTCCCGAGCGCGAACCTGAGGCAGAGCCAGCCTTTGATGCGGCAAGCTGCTACCGGGCACATCCAGCAGGTACACTCCAGTTTCTCCAATAGGACACTCCAGTTTCTCCAATAGGATTCGAACGCACCTTCATGTGCTCGCCACCCTCCCCCCCCTTCCGTTTCAGGGTAATAGGAGTTGTGCAACCAAGGCGGGAATGTGTTACGTACAGTAGCTTCCCCGTGGAACATGGCCGCTGCACGCCTCGGCGGGTCCGTACGGAGGAAATGGCGGGGTAATGCGCAAACCTTGGAATTATCGAGAACTGCTTGACATCGCTCCATATCCATTTACGAAGCATGTGTATAGAGTACGGGCGAAATGTGACGGAGAAAGTGTGTCCATCTTTCAGCGTAGGGGGGGAGGGGGAGGAGGCAGAGGAAGAAGAAGATGCGATGGGTATTACTTCCAGTAGTAATCAAGCCCCCGCTCGCCTCCTCGGGACTGCGATGTCGCCAACCGTTTGGTGCTGGACGATGTGAGCTGTCACGCGTGCGTGTTGCTGGGCCAAATTCGAAGGCGCTCCGACGGTTCACGGAGGGAAGTTCTGCCGAAGGTTCCTCTTTCTTTCGTGTGTAAATCAGATGGTCGGATACACTCGAGCAATTCAGTAACTGAAAGAAGCGTAACGATACACGATCAGGGAAACAAACTCTTCTGCCTCTGTCTGCCTGACTGCCTATCTCGGTCTGTTTCCTTCATCTTACCCTTATCAGCCGTGCTCTCCCCTCTCGTTTTTTCGCCTTCCCCTCGTCTCCGTGCTTCGCCCTCGCCTCCTCCTTCCCCCTTCTCCCCCCCC